GGGTTGATCTCTTCTAGGACTGACCGGTTTGATCGCCTTGCAGTCCAGGGGACTCGCAGGAGTCTTCTCCAGCACCATAGTTCAAAGCCCTCAATTCTTTAGCTTTAGAAGTGTCCATATACAATAAACCAAGAGTTTATCCAAGTGCAGTAAGAACTCACAGCTTCATGATACCCTTCACGTCACAAGGCTAGGTTTATTAGACATTGCTTTCTTTCAGACAGGAGTGTAAATCCATCAATAAAGAAAGGTGATCTATATACTGCTATCATGATACTGCTAACTGTCATATATAATCATGACTGCTTTCTTCTTGCTTCACTTGTATTGTATTAGACAAACCACATGGAGATTAGGATAAGGCACAGTTGTATATACTCAGCATTGTAAATGTCTAGACTGGATCAGGTTATTTTGGATTTTCTCATACCATTGATGGGCTGCATTTCTGTCTAAAAGATCTCACTAATCCATTTGTCCATCCTTCTGGGGGTCTTGGCTAGAGAATTCTTCCAGGCCTAATCTTAAATACAATTAAGAAAATAATTATAATTGAATATATTTTGAATATATAAATGTAGAATTGACAAATTTCAGATCTAGCACAGTGGCCCCCAACCTTTTTTAGGCACAGGGGACCGGTTTCGTGGAAGACAATTTTTCCACGGACCAGAGGGGATGATTTTGCTTGCTTGCCTGCCACTCACCTCCAGCTATGCGGCCAAGTTCCTAATAGACCACAGAATGGTACCAGTCTGAGTCCTAGGGCAAGGGTAGGCAACCTCGGCTCTTTTATGACTCATGGACTTCAATTCAGCTATGCTGACTCAGGAATTCTGGGAGTTGAAGTCCATGAGTCATAAAAGAGCTGAGGTTGCCTACCCCTGTCCTAGGGGTTAGGGTCCCCTGTTTTAACAGTTGGTTTCTATAAAACTGGAGATTTTTAAAGATTGCTTCTGTGGAAGAATGGCATATTATGGTGGAATTATGTTTTTTTTAAAGGAAAAATAAAAAATGATGGAGGATGTTGTACTTTCATGAGAAAATCTCTACTGAGTTTTCTAATCTATAAATTATATTTTTTAAAAAGAAGGATATTTCCTTGCATTTATGTAGTTACATTCTGCTAGTGACTAGTTGTTTATAATAAGTATCCACGACAGTTTATTTTGCAAACCTAATATCACAGTTAATCATTATATCTAATTGACATTCTGCTGTCTATAACCCGATAGCCGAAAGCTCTGTCTCATTTTACTAGCTTTTACATAAAGTCTTTCAAGCAAAGAATAACTGGAAGGAGTGTGCATGTGTGGATACACTTGTAAATATATACGTATCAGGTTGCTCGAACTAACCAATTTCCTTTCGAGCAGTTTTTTTTAACTGTGTGGTAGAAACAAAGCGGATAGATTATAAATTAGCTCAACAGTAAATAAATAAAAAAAGAAATATTTCTCATTGCTCCCCGCCCCCCACATATATCCAAGTTCCTGTGTTACTTTTCTCCTATTCAGAATCACAACATCTTTTTCTCACATACTGGGATGTGCATTTCTGTTTTTACACTCTGTACAGTTTGCTTCTAAGCAGCATATGATACTGAGCATGTATGAGTTTTTCTATGAAAAGGTGAGGGGGGGAATGTTAGATTCCATCATTCTACTGCTTTCTGGCAATTAAATAACTTTGAAAACACCTACTGGAGGAAATATACAGTTAATATATTATTGTCTGATTTGCCCTTAAGATACTTGGGAGGAGTCCTCTTAATTTTTTATGGAGGTGTCTTAGTTCATCTAATAGAGAGTTGGCAACCCAAACATCCTAATTTTAGGAGCTAGAATTGCCCTAAGAAAGCAGACATGCTAGATGGAAATGACTCACTTGGCTTAACTAGGCCAAGGGGAGGAGGGTAGTCTCTTACAATAATCTTTGTTAGAAAGGAAAAAGGAGGATGAAAACTGACTTTGCTCATAGCAGGAAAACCTGTATCACCCCAAAATTTGGTGGAGAGAGGAATCTCTTAGAGTACTAATACAGAATACCCTTATCTTTCATTCAGATTGTATATGCCGTACGTATAAGGAAGCTTTATGGCATAGAAACATCAAACATTTCTAGTGACTTTATCCAAGAAAACAATTTTGGATGAATATTGAAATCCCTGACATTTTTTAATTCTTGGAATGGGATGGATGCTTATAAAAATAAGTTTAGTTCTGCTCTATAACTGGATGTTTATAGATCTCGTTGGAATCCAGCAAAATGGCCAAGTTTTTTATTTTAGTAAGTACTTTTGTGGTGACTCAGCATTATAGACATGTCCTAAGTTAACATTTGCAAAGTAAACTGCCACCTTAAGAAATATTTAGTGAATAGAGTGGAAGAGAGATTATTTTAAATGTCTACAAAGATGGTAAGTCTAAACTTTAAATATAAAATAATGGAGGAGAACAAGATCTTCTTTTTTACCTCACTTGCCCTGTGGAAGAGCATTTAGATTACCGGAACCATGTTGGACTTTCGCAAAGTGATAAAGATATTCCTGTAGGCATTTGGGCTGTGAAATAAGTAAATACAACTTGGAAACAGATTAGATGAGCTGCCTGTTTTTGATGTGAAAGAAAATGAAGTCTGACAAATAGCATAGTCACAGATAAATAGCACGTTCATAGAATTCAGTTCTTTTTCTCTATTTCTTCAAGTATATGGAAAGAGATAATCGGATTCACTGTCTGATTGCCTTTTACCCTACTTGGACAGGGATGCCAAATTTATGACTGTGAAGCTACATTTATTCAAAGATGCCGTTTGCTGTGAGCCTGTGGGAGCCCCACTAGATTTCTTCCTGTTTATATAACCACTCTTATGGTTTTTACTTGTAAATGGCTCAGAGTCACGTAAATAGTGATTAATAAATAAATGAATACATTTGATTAATAAATAAATGAATAAATCTTTCTGCAGTGGCAGTCCACATTGTACCTGAATGACCTTTCCGCAGATTCTATTGATATTTACAAAATACTTTTCCAAGTGGGTAGTAGAGAGCATCCACTGGGCTCCCATCCCTATCCATTTTGCTAAGGTGGTAGAGGTTTTTTTTTTCCCCCAGCAGTTGTTTCCCCTTGGATTTATTTAGTCTTATAACTGTTATTGCTGCTAGGTGTGCTACATTTATTATTTAAACCTGAAAAACAGTAGTTCTTTAGCCATTGTTCTAGTGCTACTTTTCTGCCCTGCTTTCAATAGGCAAATAATTTAAAAGTATAATCAACTAGTGCGTCTATTAATAATCTATTTTGCATTTCATGTGATGACAGTACTTAAACCATTGTGAAAACAGGTTTCCAGAGAAGGCAAATTAGTGGCTGCGAGATGATACAAACCTCCTATCTGGCAGAAAGAAATTGTGACTGCTTAAGATCTCTTTCGAATGATGGGGCAAATGCTCCGAGCCATTGCTGGTCTCTGTGCAATGTTCTGAATAGGATCCTAGAGTAGAGTACGGGGGTGCAAAAAGTTGATAGTTTCTCATGTTCCCCAGACAGGATTTGAACTTGGACTGAGCAAACTTTTGTTCCTCACCAGTCACATTTAATATGTATAGGGGAAGGGGAAGTCCATGGTGACTATGAGAAAGCACAAATATATTCTAAATGCCGAAGTCAGTTGAAAGAATAATTAATAAAAAGAGATATTGAATAAAATACAAACATTAAACTAGATAAAATATAACTTGTGCTGCATATTTTGAAAAAACACACGTATAAAATTATAAGCCCTAAATTATCAGACAAGTGGAGCTAGAAGATTGGTAGGGCTGGTGTGTTAAAGAGGGTCACCAGCGCAATCAGGATATTTTCATGTTGTGATTCCTTGCCACAAAAACCTGCAGGTACTGAAACTTTATCTGTCAGGTCTTGGGTTTCCAAGGAGCAAAGAAAAACAAAGGTACAAATTTGTAAACCTAAACTAAAATAGCCCCAAAGGAATTGAGAAAATAAATAAAAAGGCAACCACCATCTTTAACTCAAAAGCAAAAGATCAAGAGGAAGGATCTGATAAACGTGAAAGAAAAGAGCCACCAATGCAATTCATGGAAACATTAGTGCATTAACCTGGGATTAGGAGCCAAATACAAATTATAGCCAAAAGGATGGTTGGAATCAAGGGTACATCTGTGTTAAAGATCAAGAATTTCCACTTTCAAAGCGAACTTTCTTGGTTCTTGCACACCCATAAGTAACACCTACTAATCCATCAACTACTAGTCCTACTTTAGCCATGAAAGCAGCTGGGTAACTTTGGGCCAGTCACTCTGTCTCAGCCCAACTCACACCACAGGGTAGTTATGTAGAAAATAGGAGGAGGAATTGTGTATGTCACTATCCTGAATTATTTATAAAAATAATGATGGTGGGGTGCAAATAAATCCTATCTTGCTTTGGGTTCTTCTAGGCAAGGTTTTAAAATAAGGGAAATTGCATCCTTCACACAGTGTTAGGATGTAAGTATGTACAGAAAATGCACAACCGTTCAAAAGCTTTTATCTTTGCATGGTTCCCCCTCCCCCATCCCTTCTTTGCATATCACCTTTCCATAAACATCTGTTAAGGAGGTCAGTGAAATAGCTGAATACTTGTCCATTCTTCATCCCACTGTTCTCCGTTCAGCCGATATATTCTTTATTCCACTGGTTTGTCTTAAAAATTTTTTTTTATTTTTCACCATACACCATACACCAAAACTACATAAACATAAATCTTTTCTTCTAACAGAACAGTGCTTTACATTTTAAATATTCTTTACATCTT